CTGACCCGAGCTCCCCTCTTCGTGATATGCAATGATGTGATTAGAAATGAAATGGTGATTGTTTTTGTGTGTCAAGTGACAGCTTGGAGCTGCTGCCGAATTTTCCGCGGTTTTGCTTTTGATGTATTAAATAATTGTGCGGCGGTAGCTTGGAGCTGGTAGCTCTTACCGAATTTTCCTCGATTTGATTTTCCTGTTGTGTTTTTCTTCTAAATAAGGTGTTTTTTATTGGTTTGGGCGTGTGCCCCACAGCCCGAACAGAAGCACCCCTTATAGTCGTGCAAGCGCCCCGGCCCTTGTCGCGTTATAGTCATCTCTAGGGAAGTTCTCCAAGCAGCAAATGCGAAGCCAGCCGCAGCAATCGCTCCGTGAAAATTTTGACGGGTGAATTATTATCTCGGGAACCACGAAATCTAGGAAGCTGAAATTTTAGCGTGGTTAATGGGTTTGCTGTTTAGGCGCCAAGCTCCGAAAATTCAGCTGCTGTTGGCTCGCGTCGCTCACCGCATCGTCAGACCGTAACGAGGAAAACTCGAGTTTACGTGGTTGATGGCGTACAGATGACCTCCACATCGCATCAAGTTTTTGGCGTGAAGCAAGATTATGAATTACGGTTAGTTGAAAATCGTTATAAAATACTAATTTATATTTAGCTTACGGAATATTAGCTTTTTGCATTGGAGAAGTTTTGGCAGCCCCAACTTCTACAGTGTATTTGCTGACTTTTCCCATAGCAATCTCAGTTCCGGAGCAGAATTTGCTTCAGCTGGCAGCCATTTTTCATCATCTGCTTCTGATTCTCACTATCCAAAGGCTGGGTGTACCTGTAGCCGCTGAGGTTTTGAGATCCAGAAGGTTTAAAGTTTAGGAATTATGAGCCCTCATACAGCCTTATTTCAGTATTTTTAAACTTTCATTGATGTACCATTGGTTCAGGATCACTGCATTTTAGCTTGGTAAGTACAGTTAGTCTTCTTCTGTAGTAACGGACTGTTTGTGTGTAAGCAAAGTTTGTGTGTTTTTTGGAGGTGAAAATTTTTCCCTCATTTTGATGAGGGAAAAATTTCTAGGCAATTTTTAGGCAGAAATTTTTTTCCCGGTATTTTGGTGCGGTTAACGTGCAGTCAAAATCAAAACTTCCGGCAGCCTTCTTGCAGCTTTTTTCCCCAAGGCTGGTAGTTTGTAGGATCAAAAATTTTGTTTTTACGTATATTGGCTGAAATTTTGTCGGCATGCTTATTGCCCATGTGAGAAATCGTGCACCTAAAATGAGTACCGATTTGCACTTGCGCCACGACTTAGGGCACTTCAAAGATATTTGTAGCGAAGTGGATATTTCGTTTACCAGATAAGGTGCGAGACTGAAAATTTGCTGGGATATTCTACTTTCAAGTCCGGTCTTAATTCTGCTTGGAGGTGAAATTCCCTGCAGCCGGGCGTGAGAAGCACTTTTTGGTAAATTTGAAAATACTTCTTGATAGGGGATTTTTTCTTAAAAATTTGAACTTTTTCTAGCCTTCTTCCACGTTATCATATATCACTCAGTGGCGACTGGTCAGTCTTTTTTGTCGAAGTATCTCCATCGTTGTTGATGTTGTTGTTTCCTGGGTGTTTTTTTTTTTTTCTTTTACGTTTTTGCCCTGTCGTTTTGTTTTTGTTGTGTTGTTATTGTTGTGATTGCGAGTGATAATTTTTTTGAATTTTGGCATTTTTCCAGCACACACAATTTCATCTTTCCTGTTCAGTTTGGTGTTGTGCTGTTTCACAAATTATCAGCAATACTGTGGTTTAAGATCACTTGGCCTGGAGCATCTCCGAATGCTATTGGAGCGGGGTTTTTCCATTTTGAGTCCAAACAGATGCTAAGCTGATTGTAGCATACAAGTTGATGCTAGGAGCTTAGGAAACGAAGAAATTGAGCGAACTAAAAATGAATGAATGTGGAAATAGTGTATTAAGAAGTTTCGGTCCATTAAGTCGTATACGTCTTAGCTCAACACCACAACTGGACCTTGTCACTATGACGGTCGTGGTGTTCAGAGAAGAGAGAAAGAAACGAAAAAATAAGAAAAGGAAGGGTTTTTGCTATTGTATTAAATTTAGAATTATTGGAAAAGGGTAAAAAAAAGTATTGGAAAAGGGTATTATAAGCAAAAAAGGTAGGACCTCAGTAGAAGATGCTAAGTTCATCTGAGGGATGCCAAATAGCGTCGTTGAAATGTAGAAACTTAGGTCTGGTGTTTGTACAGTTAAAAAAAAGTGTTGTGTTTGAGAAAATGAAGAAAACACGGAATAGGCTCTGTTCCGATTGTGTACTGGACATCATTTCGAACATAGTGACTTTTTTTAGCTAGGAATGTCGATTTTTGGGTCCGCTGTTCTGTCCGGGTCTGGGCACTTTTGCTGTTTTTTTTTGGTTTTTTGTCTGTTTTGGCGCCTTTTCAAATTTGTTTTTTGCTTTTCAGGAAGCAGCAATTGCATGAACTACGACGCCTACAACGTGAAGAAGCACGTCAGCTGCGTGAACTGAATGCAAAGGCTGAAGCGTCGCGAAGTGATCAAGCAAAACGATTCGCAGCTGAGAAAGAGGTCTTTTTTTTTCCCTCGGTGCCTCAGCTGAGATTGCTCAAATTGGCTTGAGGGGTCTCGCGAGAGTAGCACCAGTTGCTGACAGGACAGGCCGTAAATTAGTGTGGAGTTGGCATGTTTCCCTCACTGGCGGATCCAGGGGGCGAAAGGCCCCTCAGGGGCTCAGGTAGCAACTGTTTTACTGTAGAAAACTCTGCTCGATACCCCTTGTCGTCCCTCCCCCCTGTCGTCGCCGCAGTTTAGAATTGACTAGCGAATGGGGGGAGGGGAGGGGAATGCGACGGGACGACCGAGGGGAGGTGGTAGTGGGTGGCTGAAGAGGCGGAAGGTGGGGCTTCCGGTGTAGAGACGAATGTGGGGGGAGGGGAGGGGGAGTGGAAGAAGAGGAAAATCGCCCCCCCCCCTCCGCCCAGGTGATCGCCCTGGGTCCACCTATGGGTTCTCGAGGCATTAATCCTTATGAGCAGCTAGCCTTTCGTCCACTACTTAAAAATATCGTCTTTTCAAGACACTGGCCTACCCATGAAACCTTGGATTTCCTTTGCTTACAGGGTTCCCCGGGTAAAAATTTCCCGACTATGCACTTTTTTAAAGACTGCGGCTCGGTCTGCTAACGGCCGCAAATTATTTTAGCGAACTTTTTTACCC